CACCATGTTGGCCATGATGGTCTCAAACATCTGACCTCATGATCTGCCTGCCTCGGCCTCCCAAAGTGCTGGGATTACAGGCGTGAGCAACCTCACTTGGCTGATTTTCATTTCTTTTATAATCAGAAGGAAAAGAATGAAACTTTTAGGTCAAAGAAATATTAAGATTGTTATAGCACTCAATTACTAATTACAAATATTAATTATATATTATATTAGTATTATCATATTCTTCTTTACATTGTTGGGGTTGTAAAATCCAATTTTTAATATTTGTTTTAAATGAAGGAGGAGCCCACAAAGATAAAAGTGCTCAGGGCCCAGGAAAGTTATAATGTGGCCCTTACTTTCAAGGCTCCTGGAGGATATCTCCACTAGGAAGTCTTTGTAGACTGGTGAAAAGGGATGTGAGGGAGGAATAGGTGGGAAGGTGGGAGAAGAGAGACGCCAAGATAGGGGTGGAAGGAAAGAGCTGACCCTTAGTGATCCCATCATTTAAGGGATAAGCTTTCTTCCTGTCTGTGATTTATCTTCTTTTGCCTGTTCCTGTCTCTGAACTTACATTTGCTTGGGCCTAGTGGGTAGGAGACTCACCTAAAACACCACTTTACTCACGTCACTTACTGGATCAAGAATGCAGTCAGGTAAGGCGGCTTATGCCTATAATCTCAACAACTTAGGGGCAGAGGCAGGAACATGGCTTCAGGCCAGGAGAGTGGCCTGAGCAACACAGCGAGACCCTATCTCTACAAAAAATTTGAAAAGTAGCCAGGCGTGATGGTGCATGCCTATAGTCCCAGCTAGCTGCTCAGGAGTCTGAGGTGGAAGGATCCTGTAAGCCCAGATGTTAGGGTCTCTAGTGAGCTAAGATTGAGCCACTGCATTCCAGCCTGGGCAACAGAGCAAGATCCCATCTCTTTATATATATATATATATATATAATTTTTTTTTTTTTAAAGACAGTGTTTCACCATGTTGGCCAGGCTGGTCTTGAACTCCTGACCTCAGGTGATCCGCCTGCCTCGGCCTCCCAAAGTGCTGAGATTACAGGCATGAGCCACCACGCCTGGCCGAATCCATCTCTTTAAAAAAAAAAAAAAGAGGGCGGACTCAACAATCAATTAAAAATTTTTTTTAAAGGATATAAATATACAACTGCACAACAACAAAACAACTCAACTAAAAAATGTGACAGGACTTGAACAGTCACTTCTCCAAAGACATGCAAGTGGTCGATCAGCACATGAAAAGACGTGCCACATCACTATCACTAGGGAAATGCAAATCCAAACCACAGTGAGATACCACTTCACACACATTATAATGACTACTATCAAACAGAAAGTAACAAGTGTTGGCAAGGTTGTAGAGAAACTGGAACCTTTATGCATTGCTGGTAGGAATATAAAATGTTGCAGCCACTGTGGAACACTGGATGGTGGAGTCACACAAAAAAATTAAACACACAATTACCACATGATATAGCAATTCCACTTCTGAGTCTACATCCAAACAACTGAAAGCAGGGTCTCAAAAGATATTTGTATACCCGTGTTTACAACAGCATCAACAGCCAAAAGGTTGAAGCAACCCAACTGTCCATCATAGATGAATGGATAAACGAAATGTAACACATACCTACAACAATATTATTCAGCCTTGAAAAGGAAGAAAATTGTGATGTGCTACAATACAGATGAACCCTGAAAATATTATGCTAAGTGAAGTCAGCCAGACACAAAAGGACTACGGTATAATTCTACTTACATGAAGTACCTAGAGTAGTCAAATTCATACAGACAGCAAATAGAATGGTGGTTGCCAGGGGGCTGGGGAATCAGTGTTTAATGGGTGTAAGGTTTCAGGGTGGGAAGATGAAGTTCTGGAGATGGATGGTGGTGATGAACGTGAATTACTTAATACAGAAGTTGCCCCTTATCTGCGGTTTTGCTTTCACAGGTTTCAGTTACCCGTGGCCAACTACAGTCCAAAAACATTAAACAGAAATTTAATAGAAAAAGAAAATTCCAGAAAAGAACAATTCATACCTTTTAAATTATGTGTCGTTCTGAGTAGCGAGATGAAATCTCATGCCCTGCTCATCCTGCCTGGACAGTGAATCATCCTTTTGTATCCATGCTATAAATGCTTAGTAACTGGCTGTCACGATATCACAGCCCCTTGTGCCCAAGTAACCCTTATTTCACATGATGGTGGCCCCAAACCACAAGATAGTGATGCAGTTTGGACCTGCCAAGAAATGCTTCCTTTAAGTGAAAAGGTGAAAGTTCTTGACTTAATAAAGAAAAAGAACTGTATACTGAGGTTTCTAAGATCTACAGTAAATAAGATATTTTAAGCGAGGGACCACTTTCACATAACTCTTATTACAATAGTTATACTTGTTCTATTTTATTATTATTGTTAATCTCTTACTGTGCCTAATTTATAAGTTAAGCTTTATCATAAGTATGTATTTATAGGAAAAAACATAGTGTAGATGGGGTTCAGTACGATCTGAGATTCAGGCCCCTACGGGGGCTTCTGGAATGACTCCCCTGTGGAGAAGCGGGGACTACTCCACCACTGAACTGTCTGCCCAAAAATGGCTAAAATGTTAACACTTGTGCTATGTTTATTTTACCATAAATTTTAAAAAAGAATAAAAGGCTGGGCGCGGTGGCTCACACCTGTAATCCCAACACTTCGGGAGGCTGAGGTGGGCAGATCACTTGAGGCCAGGAGTTCAGGACCAGCCTGGTTAACATGGCAAAACCCCGTCTCTACTAAAAGTATAAAAATTAGCCGGGTGTGGTAGTGCACGCCTGTAGTTCCAGCTACTAGGGAGGCTGAGGTAGGAGAATTGCTTGAACCCAGGAGGCAGAGGTTGCAGTGAGCCAAGACCGAGCCATTGCACTCCAGCTTGGGTGACAGAGCAAGACTCTGTCTCAAAAAATAAATAAATTAAATTAAACAAAAAAGAAAAAAAAAGTAAACAGCTCCCCTTTGCCGAGGTTCTAATCCCTCAGCTAGCTGCCAAGGTATCACCTCTTTTTACTTGTGAGCAGGCTTATTCTGGAGGTCCTCTCCCCTCCCCCTTCCTGAACATCCTCCAGGGTAAATCGTCTCGGTGGCTTCTCACATGGTATGAGGTATTCTACCTTTACCTAGAGCAGATACACGTGAAAACGTATTCTATCCTTCTCTGAGATACCTGCTGCGCCCCTTTGTAAGAACTTTGTCCATCTTTCAAGGGCAAGGCTCAGATCCCCTCCCTCACCCATTCATGAAGCCTATGCTGACCCATTTCTCCCTTCTACTTCCCCCACCCCTTTTTTCTGAGACAGGGTCTTGCTGGGTCAACCAGGCCGGAGTGCAGTGGCATGATCTTAGTTCACTGCAACCTCCATCTCCTGGGCTCAAGGGATCCTCCCACCTCAGCCTTCTGAGTAGCTGGGACCACAGGTGTATACCCCATGCTTGGCTGATTTTTTTGTAGAGACAGGGTTTTGCAATATTGCCCAGGCCTGTCTCGAACTCCTGGGCTCAAACAATCTGTCTGCCTTGACCTCCCAAAGTGCTAGGATTACAGGCATGAGCCACCACACCTGGCCATTTCTCTCTTTTTTCTCTTCTCACCAGACAACTAAAAGTCTGGTCTTAGACTTCCATTGCTGTCAGTCACCTGTTTCCACATCAGTAAAAGCAGGGAATGTCTGTCCTAACGACAAATGTGACTGTGTATAGGAAGACAAAGGTGTATAGACCAACCAAGGGTTTGTTCCTCTCTCCCCCTAACTAGCACATGCTGAAAACAGTCAATAAATAACTGATAGTTTGTCCGGCCCAGCCTCATAATGAACCAAACGATGGGCATCCATTCTCAGAGTGCTGAGCAGTAGAGCCCAGCCCCAGCACACCTTCAGGGAACAATGGGGTTTTGATGCTGGGTCTGTATCAGAATGGAATTAGCCAGTAGAATCCCTTTCAAGAAAAGATGGGTTTCTAACAAGCACCCAGAGCTAATCACCCATGTGACTGAGTGCTTACCAGACACTACACACTCTTCTAGATGTTCTACATGGGTTGTCTCATTTAACCTTCATAAATCATAAGATAGGTACTATTTTCCCTATTTTGTGAATGATGAAACTGGAGCTTAGAGGTTAGAAATACTATCTTTAGCAGGTTTTTAAGAAAGGATTTCACTGCTACCTTTGAAGATTTCTTTTCCACATTTAACTATAAGGGTTTCTGCTACATTCTTTGCCACAGCTATAAATTGTTAAAGGAATGAATGTAAAGCCCTTCCTTTAGGCTTATAAAATAACCTTCCTTCCTTCCTTCCTACCTACCCTCCTTCCCTTCCTTCCTTCCTGACTTCCATTTATTTTATTTTTTTGATGGGCTCCCACTCTGTCGCCCAGGCTGGAGTGCAGTGGCACAATCTTGGCTCACCTCTGCCTCCCAGGTTCAAGCAATTTCCGTGCCTCAGTCTCCTGAGTAGCTGGGATTACAGGGTGTGCATCATCACACCTGGCTAATTTTTTTTTTTTTTTTTTTGTATTTTTAGTAGAAATGGGATTTCACCATGTTGGCCAGGCTGGTCTCAAACTCCTAACCTCAGGTGATCCACCTACCTCGGCCTCCCTAACTGCTGAGATTACAGGTGTGAGCCACCACGCCCAGCCTCTTTCTTTCTATCTTTTAAATTAGAGATGGGTCTCGCTAGTTGCCCAGGCTGGTCTCAAACTTCTGGCCTTAAGGGGTCCTCCTAAGGGGTAGTGCCAGAACTGGCCCACATCCATGAGGCTTCAGATTAAAACCGAACTAAGGAGCACACTCTAGTTGCCTCCTGCTTCCTCCCAGGCCTTTCCCGTGTGGGGCAGGCAGACAGAGGTGGGAGTTTTCCCACCTGGGCTGAGGCTTCCACGACTGGTCTGGAGACGGGGATGTTGAACAATTCTCTTTCACTGGGATTAGAAAAGGCCTTCACCTACCTCTTGGAGAAGGAGTGGTCAGGAGGCTGGTCATTGTCACTAGTGGTTGAGTTCCTTGGAGAAGAGGCAGATCTGTAGGAAGAGGGGCAAAGACAGAATGTGGCGGGTGGGCCCCTGGGGCTTTGAGTCCTGGAAACCCCAGGAAAGCCTCTGGCGCCAGGTTTTCCTAGGTCCCTTCCCCCTTTCCTCTTGTCCTCTTCTGGTTTCCCTGAGTACCCCATCAGGCTCCAGGTACCACGCTCTGGAGCAGGTCTGAGGCCGCACGCACTTGCGGAGGTGGGTGTTACCTTCGTACGCTCTCTCCCGATCCTTTCACTGGGCCACGAAATTTACCTAGGACATCTCTCAAGGCCTGAGAAAGTCAGGCAAAGGTTCGCAAATCAGCGGCGGACCCAGTTTCGCCAAAGCGCGGTAACAGGTACCCTGGGATTCCACAGTCCGGCGTTCTGGTGACGCCGTCCACCAGGTGTCAGGAGAGGGCCGGGAAGCTCAGGACCCGCGCCCAGGCTCCGGAGCGGAGGGGCGCAGCGCGGTAACCCGGCCGGGACCGGGAGGCAAGGGCCGTGGGCCGCCTTCTGGCCCGCCTGGGCCGCCGGGCTGCCGGGCTGGGCCGCCCCCTCCGGGCCTGCCTTCGCCGTTCAGGGCGTCGTCCGCGCACAGCCTGCCGAGCCTCACTTGGCCCCAGCCCGGGCCTCGAGCCCGGGAGACCCTCGACGCCCCTGCGGACTGGGGTGGACGCGGCTGGCTGGGTCGGTCCTCGCCCCGCGGCCCCGCCCCCGGCCCTGCCCCGACCCCCCCGCGTTACCAGCACCTGGCTGGGCGCCCTGCGCGGGGACGGCCGGTGTGTCCCGCGGCCGCGTTCCTGCCGCCGCGACCCTCGGCCCCAGCCGAGCGCTGAGCTTCGGCCGCTCCGGGTTTCGGTTCCTGCCGCGGCCGAGGTGGCTGCCGCGAGTGTGGACGACCCGGCTCTGCGGCGCGCCCGCCCTCCCCTCGTGCTCACCTTTCCAGTCCGACTGGCTGCCGGGGAAGGGACGGCGCCGCTCCGCGCGTCCTTTTGAACTCGACGGGGGCGGGCACCGCGGAGGCCGGCGGAGGCCGACCGAGGACCCCGAGCGGAGGGAGCCGCGGCGGCGCGCGGGGTTGGCGTAGAGGCCGGAGGGGGTGGGGGGCAGGCCGACGGGGTGGGACAGGAAAAGCCGAGAGAATCCGCCCTCCGCAGGTCCCCTCCGCTCCCCCGGGAGGAAAGGCTGCCTGCCCTTCTCCGATGGTCACTTTGCCATCCGTCCGGAGCCGCTTCCTCTCTCGCCCCGAGGCTCTGGTGTGGGACGAGATCGGAGCCGCGGGCTAACTGGGATCCGTCCCATTTCCCTGGGCTTGACGTTCTCTGAATTTTCAGCTAATGTGGAAAGTTACATTTATTTGCGTTTGTTTATCACTTGCTCACATAGGTCTGTGTCCCGAAGCTCGGCAGATGAGCGAACTTAGCCAGCACACCCCAGGCCGTGAAGCGGGGAGGTGAAGCGGGGAGAGCCACAAGCCTCACCCGGGTCTTCCCAGCTGGTCGTTCTCGTGGGGCAGCATTGAGCAGCGGTCAGGAGTGTCATGGACTTTGGATTCAAACAGCCCCAGCTCCTCTGCTTGCTAGCTGGGTGACTTTGGGCAAATTACTTAATATCTCGAAAATCTGTTTCCTCATTCCTAAAATGCGAGGCTGAAAGTGATCATGCCTATAAAGCCATCTCATATCCATGGTTCTAGAGCATGGTGAGCACCTCAATTTGAATAATGAGTACCATGCTTTAGCTACCTCTTGACTCACTCGTTTGCGGCAGGAAATGTTCCCAAATTAATCAGAAGAATTCAGTGACTAAGAGGATGTGATAGTACAGAACACAGGCACTGGAATCAGCTCTGCTGTGTGGTCTTGAACAAGTTGCTTCGGTTTCATTTCTCTTACCTGATAGAGTGACTGTTGGGACGAAATGAGTTAGTAAATATATACTGTAAAGCATTAGAACCTTGCCTGGCACATAGTAAGTGCTCAGTAAAGGCTATATATTGTTACCTTGGCCTCCCGTTTAGGGCTGGAACGCTGTGATTATTCCTTCCCTCCCAGTGATACAAACTTCTGTGCTTACTTCGCACTCCTGTGCATTCTGTAGGTTTGTGAACCAGTATTTATACAGAAATACTTTCTATAGAAAGGCATCATCAGATTGTGCATGTTAATCCAGGGAACAGACTGAAAGAGAAGGTCTCAGACGAAAGAGGCATAAAGGGAGAAAACAAAGCCATAAATAAAGCAAGAGTAGTTGCTTTTATTCCTAAAAAGTTCGTTGATAAAAGAAACCAGAGGGCTGGGCGCTGTGACACATGCCTGTAATCCCAGCGCTTTGGGAGGCTGAGGCAGGTGGACCACCTGAGGTCAGTAGTTCAAAATCAGCCTGACCAACATGGTGAAACCCCTTCTCTACTAAAAATACAAAAATTAGCTGGGCATGGTGGCACACACGTGTAATCCCAGCTACTCGGTAGGCTAAAGCATGAGAATCGCTTGAACCTGAGAGGCAGAGGTTGCAGTGGGCCGAGATCGTGCCATTGCACTCCAGCTTGGGCAACAAGAGCAAAACTCCATCTCAAAAAAACCAAACACAAACAAAAAACAAAAACAGAGAAGGAAAACAACAAAAAAGTGATGAAACTCATTTTATGTAAATATATTGTGAGAAATATATGTAAATATATGCATGGGAAAATGCCAATCCAACCAAGAATGGCAAAGAAAGTGACATGCTGGCTACACATATGTAACTTAATAAAAGAAAGGTCAGCCTGGCTTGTCCTCAGATAAGAGAATATTCAAGAGAAAAGGAAATTCAAATCCTAGAGGGCTAAATCCAAAGGAGGACAATTGCTGGCATTGACATACTCTAGCTGACCACTCTGATCAGGAATTCCAGGAGAGATTGAGATCATTCTTGTACCTGGGTTTGTCTCTTTCACATTTTCTATTATGTGTTGAAGATTGTTTAGAACTACAGACTCAGAAGCTATCTGGCTCAACTGACTCTACTGATTTGCTGTCACTTTCACAATTTTGACAGTTGTTAATAATGTTCCCTCGATAAGCACCTTTTTACTTCTCTTTAAAATGTAACCGGCAGGGTGGGGTGGCTCATGCCTGTAATCTCAGCACTTTGGGAGGCCAAGGCAGGCGGATCACCTGAGGTCAGAGTTCAAGACCAGCCTGGCCAACATGGTGAAACCCTGTCTCTTCTAAAAATACAAAAATTAGGCAGGCATGGTGGCGCACGCCTGTAGTCCTGACTATTCAGGAGGCTGAGGCAGGAGAAGCGCTTGAACCCAAGAAGTAGAGGTTGCGGTGAGCTGAGATTGTACCACTGCACTCCAGCCTGGGCAACAGAGTGAGACTCTGTCTCAAAAAAACCCAAAAAATCCTAAATAACTAAAATAGTATAATTGGATTGTTTGTAACACAAAGGATAAATGCTTGAGGGGACGGATCCCCATTCTCCATGATATGATTTTATTATGCGTTGCATGCTTGTATCAAAACATCTCATGTACCTCATAAATGTATATATCTACTATGTACCCACAAAAATTAAACATTTTAAAAAATGTAATCTTAAAAAGTTTGCTGATACATAATACATTTTTGTTTTGTTTTGTTTTTTGTTTTTTTTGACAGGGTCTTGCTCTGTCACCCAGACTGGAGTGCAATAGTGTGATCTTGGCTCACTACAACCTCCGCCTCCCGGGTTCAAGTGATTCTCCTGCCTCAGCCTCCTAAGTAGTTGGAATTACAGGTGGATAATTTTTTGTATTTTTAGTAGAGATGGGGTTTTGCCATGTTGGCCAAGCTGGTGTCGAACTCCTGACCTCAGGCAATCCACCTGCCTCCGCCTCCCAAAGTGCTGGGATTACAGGTGTGAGCCACCATGCTCAGCCTGATACATGATTTTTTTAAATGTAGTCACATACTTCGTTTTATTTTATGTTTTGAGATGGAGTCTCCCTCTGTCGTCCAGGCTGGAATGCAGTGGTGTGATTTCGGCTCACTGCAACCTCCACCTCCTGGGTTCAAGCAATTCTCCTGCCTTAGCCTCCAGAGTAGCTGTGATTACAGCTGTGCACCACCACGCCTGGCTAGTTTTTGTATTTTCAGTAGAGACAAGGTTTATCTTGTTGGCCAGGTTCAAACTCCTGACCTCAAGTGATCTGCCCACCTCAGCCTCCCAAAGTGCTGGGATTGCAGGCGTGAGCCACTGAGCCTGGCCAACATACCTCATTTAGGAAGTGTAAACATACAGAAAAACAGGATCCAATATGCACATGCTCAGCATGAGTCTGGTATAAAATAAAGACTATTGTAAGCAGTGTGCGTATTATGCTCTTTGGTGTGTGCTCTCTATCTGGATGTCATGTCTCAAGTTCTCTGCATGTCTTACCTAATCTGTCAGTATGTCCTTCAAACTGCTGGACGGCAGGGACTGGAGGATGCTCTTGCAATTAATTCTATATAGAGAGGCATACAGATAGATGATTAACGAAGCCTTGTGGTGGTGAACTACCAGTGTTCTCCAAGGATTAAATGCTAAACCTCAGAAACTGCAACAGCTATCCTTTTGTCAACAGACTTCAAGGGGCCTCAGGGGAGGGGACAGGAGACATTCATCTCCACCCAGTTTTATTGGCCTTCAGCCCCATCTTGTGCTGCTGCCAGGATGGCAGTTTTCCCCTGGACAACACTACCATTTTGTCAGTCAGGGTAAACAAGCTGTTCCCCAAATGGCCCTATCCACCCTAGGTAAGCATACTGGCCCTTTCCTCTGCCTACTTGGAGTCTTCAGTAGGGCCATATGCAAACAAAGTGCCAATCTCAAAATTGAGCAAAATTTTTCACTTCAGGTGTGCCTCTATTGCAGCAGTTACTGCTTGTCTGCCCCACCAGACTGTAAGTCCCCAGAAGTCTCTGGCACATGCCAAAGAGGACCAGTCTCCTGAGGAGAGGAGGGAAAGCCCTGGAGAGAAAAGGGTTGAGGGCCTTGTGCAGCTAGGGGCCTCTGTTGCCAGCACTTTCCCTGTAACACTCCCAGCAGTGATTCTGAATGCCAAAGGAGTGGAACACCTTTTAGGAGAGCTATGAAAAGGGACAGGCAGTAGGGCTTTTATCATTTGAAAAACAACTCTCCTTTCAGGAAATGCAAGCTTCTCTTCCATTACTGCTGTACACAGTAGAGATCCTTTGAAGATGATCTTTTTTTTTTTTTTTTGAGACTGGGTCTCACTCTGTTGCCCAGGCTGTAGTGCAATGGTGTGATGAAAGACCACTGCAGCCTTGATTTGGGCTCAAGATATCCTCCTGCCTCAGCTTCTGGAGTGGCTGGGGCTACAGGCATGTGCTACCATGCCCAGATAATTTTTTATTTTTTGTGGAGATGGGGTCTTGCTTTGTCACCCAGGCTGACCTTGAACTCGGGCTAAGGAATCCTCAAGCCTTGGCCTCCCAAAGCAAAGATAATGCTTTTTAAAGAGTAACATCAATCTGGCCATCATGGTGAAACCCCATCTCTACAAAAAATACAAAAATTAGCCAGGTATGGTGGCAGGTGCCTGTAATCCAGCTACTCGGGAAGATGAGGCAGGAGAATTGCTTGAACCTGGGAGGCAGAGGTTGCAGTGAGCTGAGATAGTGCCGCTGCACTCCAGCCTGGGCAACAGAGCAAGACTCTGTCTCAAAAAGAAAAAAATAATTCACCCTCCTCATTATGATCCCCTCCTATCACTGGTCTTCTTCCCCTCATAGGCACTAAGAAGTCTGGTAATAGTGCCAGTCACAGGTCGCCATTTCCCTGGCCATAGGATGGACACATCATGCAAATTGGGCCAGTTAGATTCTTTCTCTAGGGAATGTGGATCTAGAGACGACACAGTGGCAGAATGTGGCAGCTGCTGGAGGGGCTGTCCACACATTCCTGACATTCCTGCTGCAGATATCCTGGTGCTGATTCTTGTCCTTCCTGCACCCTGATTCTTTTGCCTCTATGAGCTGCCTGATATCCTTCCAACATATTCTTTTTTTTTTTTTTTTTTTGAGACAGGGTCTCACTCTGTTGCCCAGGCTGGAGTGCAGTGGTGCAATCTCGGCTCACTGCAACCTCTCTGCCTCTGGGGTTCAAGCGATTCTCACTGCCTCAGCCTCCAGAGCAGCTGTGACTACAGGCACACAAGGCCATACCCAGCTACTTTTTGTGTTTTTTGGTAGAGATGGGGTTTCATTGTGTTGCCCAGGCTGGTCTCAAACTCCTGAGCTCTGCCAGGAGCTCTGAAGCGATCTGCCCACCTCAGCCTCCCAAAGTGCTGGGATTACAGGCATGAGCCACTGCAACTGGCCCCAACATATCCTTTTTTTTCCAGACAGAGTCTCGCTCTATTGCCTAGGCTGGAGTGCAGTGGTGCAATCACGGCTCACTGCAACCCCTGCCTTCCAGGCTCAAGCGATCCTCCCACCTCAGCCTCCCAACTAGCTGGGACCACAGGTACATGCCACCAGGCCTGACTAATTTTTTGTAGAAATAGGATCTCACTATGTTACCCAGGCTGGACTTGAACTCCTGAACTCAAGCGATCCTCCGGCCCCTGCTTCCCAGAGCTGGGATTACAGGTGTGTACTACCATGCCCAACCCTAACATATCCTTTATTGCTTAATTTTGTCACTTTGATACTTGCAACCAGAGAATCCACATGAGTGTACTTCCTTCTGTAGTCACTGTTACAGGGAATGACGACATCACCAAGTTCTAGTCTCTCAAGCCTAATTTAGAGTAATTCCTGGCTGAGTGTGGTGGCTCATGCCTGTAATCCCAGCACTTTGGGAGGCCGTGGCAGGTGGATCACTTGAAGTCAGGAGTTTGAGACCAGCCTGGGCAACATGGTGAAACCGTCTCTACTAAAAATACAAAAATTAGTCAGGCGTGGTGGTGTGCACCTGTAATCCCAGCTACTCGGGAGGCTTAGGCAGAATAACCACTTGAACCTGGGAAGCGGAGGTTGCAGTGAGCCAAGATTGTACTATTGCACTCCAGCCTGGGCAACGAGAGTGAAACTCCATCTCAAACAAAAAAAAAAAAAAGGAAAAAAAAATTCCTTAAAACCTCAGTTTTCATCATGTGTCTCCTTCTACCCCACCACTAAATCTTGCCCATTCTGCTCCCTGCTCAATATTCTGTCTTGTTAAAGATCTTATTTTTACCCCCACATCATTGTTTCCCTCATGCCTAGTACTAGTACTCAGTGCTTGGTAGACAGCTGATGCTCAGCAAATGCTTGCTGAATGGCTGAACGAATGGTGAGATAATCTCCTCCAAAAACAAGAAAAAAGGTGGAAGGGTTTTGGCATTTATGTATGCTTA